TGGTGGCCGCTTTAGAATTTCAGTTACGTTATTGCTATCCCTCGCTGTAATTAAAGTGTATTTATCTACCCTTGCGGTTAAAATTCTATTTATCTACTATTTTTGATAGATATAAAGACTAGTTTTAAGCAGTTTACTATGGAAAGAAATATATATTTTTTTAAAGAGTTTGAGGTCCTCTAATTGGACACACCTAAAAGCACTTTATACAGATGGGGTGTGTCCAATGGAAGACTTATTTTTGATTCCAAAGGAAATATGTAATATTTCAGTATCCAACAGAATATTGGGACACCCTGTATATTATTATCTTTCAAGTTTGAAATGAATTTCTGTCAATTTCAGGATATTGCAGGTGCATCCATTTAGAAAAACAGCCAGTTGTAATGATCCCAGAATATTTTTATGGATACCTCACCGAGGCATCACAAATTTGCTACCAGCTGCCCTTTATGCGCTCTATTCGCTCTCAGTTCTCCTAGCACGTCATATATTGAAAGCCCATGTAAGTTGACATCGTAACTTTGTGGAACATAAGGTTATCAAAGGGCTTACGGTTCAAATACAATTTTTCGAATTTTGAGCTAAAAATATATTTGTCATTATTTAAATTTTTGTTCCCAGAGCGTAACAGATTAAAATATTGTAGGTACTTTATTTTCAGTCCAGTTCAAATATAAAACTTAGTTTCCTTCCAAGTTCAAATAACTTAGGTATGTTAAAAAGAGCAAATAATATGTTATGTAGATTATCTTCTTCTTGACAACACTATAGTCTGTCCAACGACAAAATCCTTGTCAGTTATAGATGTGTCTGTCGTTTTAATTTCAAAGTAGTTTATTTTATTTCACAAAGAAATAATTTGGCACAATTGAATACCTATATTCAAAATTTCAGTGACAAGTGATTACTTCAAAATATTGTGAAGAAAAAACTATATCAAACTGAAAAAATCTAATCGAGTTATTTAATTTAAAAAAATACTGCATTTGTACAAGCAAAATATAGGTGAAACAAACAAGGATGTATTTTAAACAAAACACCACAAACCAAAAATATATAAAAAAGAACAATTTCTTACTGTCAAGCTTCAAGAAACTTCCTGCATTTATTATTATATTTATCAATATAACTTATGTACAAATAAAAAAAAACATTAATATTGCACAGTAATAAATAAAACACAACATAAATAAAACAAAATATTTTATTAATAATAACACTTACTGAATTTTATACCTAAGCTGATCAATTAACTTTAATCTTAATTTTTTAAACAAGTACCTTTTGACATGGTTTCTGCAGTAGTAAAATATATTATTTACCTATTGTGTGATGTTATTTTACAGCTACTCCAGTTTTTAGTACCATATACAAAATTGTATACAAACTTTACTATGGTAACTTTATTTGTGTATAAAACTCTCTGTCTAGACACCGAATATTAACTATAAACTGTGCTCTGGGTCTACAGTTAAGTTTCCCTCGATTTTTCCTCCACTTAACTTTAAAAAACACAAAACACACAACTAATATCACGAACCAAAGTGCGAAAGCAATTAGCAAATCGGTATTTGACATAATTTGACACAAAATTATAACCTATAATTTAGCAAGACTTTGACAAGCCTCAAAAATCTTCGGGTCGGGTTTATACGCATATGCGTACGTATATGGTTCGTTGTTGCGTCAATCCAATAATAATGAAATATGATCTGTAATTTTTGAAATAAACCAATAAAACTGGTTAAAAACAACAAGAGACGACTCATGATGGATTTATATATAAACCCATCCATAGTTAACTTAAAAAATATTAAAACCTTTTTTTTTGTGAAATAAATAGATTGGTATGGACCCCATCTGCTTATTTTCTGTCATTGTCTGTCGAAATCTTACCTGAGAAAAAAAACAGAGTATACACTTAAATACCCACATATATTTGGCACAAATTCATAAGAAAGGCACCAAAGAAGACATCAGAAACTATAGTCCAATAAGCCTATCACCCGTAACGTACAAGATATTCACAAAAATATTAAGCAACAGAATACAATACACGCTAGACGCTGCACATCTGCACAACCATGAGAACAAGCAGACTTTAGAAGAGGCTTCAGCACGATTGATCACATACATACACTAAGAGAAACTATCAGCCAAACAAAAGAATATGAACTTCCACTAGCCATAGCCTTGATAGACTTTGAGAAGGATTTCGACTCAATATATCCTAAGGCAATAATAGAAGCCCTAGCGAAAGAAGGTATTGACAGGCCTTATTATAAAAACTTCCGGCAATATACAATAAAAAGAAGCTAAAGCAAGAGTAATGATATACAAAACAACCCCAGAATTCCCAACTGGCAAAGGAGTATGACAGGGAGAGGAGAAGCAATATCCCCAAAGCTGTTTACAACAACATAGGGTGCGTTTATGTTGGAGCTGCGATAAACGATAAAAGCAGTGATAATAGCAACGACAAGAGCTGTGCAAAATTCACTTCTATCACGTGGTGTTCATAGTGGAGCTGTGATAGTAACGACGATCTCTGCTTTGCAAGTAGACGTTGAGACAAAATCAATCGATTGAAAATATATTTGTTTAAAATGAGTGATTCCGAGGAGGAATTATTTTTAGCTTCAAATGCTGTTCAATATTATATTGTTAAAACTGCAGATAAAAAACGCAAATTCTATGCACACCCTATAAATACCAGAAGGTACAAATTTGGAGAATTTCGCAATTTCAATCTATTATGATGGTTTTATTTGTTTGGTCCCACAAGACAGATCTAATAAATATTTTGCTTATTAAATTATCGGTATCCATGTCGATCATCCTTGGTATAAAAGCAAAGAAAATAGTCAAAACAATTAGCGCTGCTCTTATCATTGCTCAATTGCAAAGCGTGGCTCGACGCGTTGCGCCAATATACAGACCTACATATAAATTAATATAATAATATTCTTTGCTTCGCTACTATCGCTGCTCTTATCGTTTATCGCCGCTCCAAAATAAACGCACTCTTAGAAGAAATCTTCCGTCAACTAGACTGGGCAAACAAAGGATTCAAAATAGATGGAGAATATCTTAACCATCTACGATTCGCTGATGACATAGTTCGAGTTGCCAATTGTCCTGAAGAACTACACAGCACAAATTAATGAATTAAATACAGCCAGCAATGGGTCTCAAAACGAATTTAGCAAAAACTAAAGTAATGTAATTCAATAGTAATGTACAACGAACTAGTAGACAGAAAATACATTCTAATAAATAACACAACACTGGAAATAGTAGAAGAATATATATATTTGGGACAACTAATACAAAGCTCGGTATCTCTACTACCAGAAATCAACAGAAGAATTAAGTTAGCATAGAGTACTTACGGAAGAAACTCAATCATATTCAAATCTAGAATCTCATCTAGAACACTCTATCTAAAGGAGAAAACATTCGACCAATGTGACCTATGCATGTGAAACCTGAACCCTTAACACAGACATCATAGAGAAACTGCAAGTCGCATAACGTTCAATGGAAGGAAATATGGTGGGAATAACCAAGAGAGGCCTAAAACAATAGAGTGGATACTACAAAGGACCCAGGTAATAGATGTCATCCAGAGATTCAAATCCGTCAAGTGGCAATGGGCAGGATACCCGGCAAGAAGAACGGATAACAGAAGGACCACAAAAATTACAGCACGGTACCCAGGAGGAATTTAGAGACCTAGAATAAGACCAAATTTGAGGGGACTATGATATTAGGAAATTAGCAGGGATAACTTGGGCCCGCAATAGACAACAATGGGTCTATCATATATATATATATATTTTTATCGAACTTTTAGAGAGAAGGCTTTCGGCCACGGTATATCCTAAGGCAATGCAGATTGCAAAGCCCTAGCGAAACAATTATTGTATATGTAGTGACAGGCCTTATATAGAAACTCTTGCTACTATACAAAGAAGCCAAAGCAAAAGTAATGATATATAAAATAACCCCAGAGTTCCCAACTGGCAAAGGAGTACGACAGGGAGACGATATCCCCAAAGGTGTTTAGAGCAACATTAGAAGAAATTTTCCGTCAACTGGACTGGACCAACAAAAAAAAATAGATGGAGAATATATTAGCCATTCGCTGGTGAGATAGTCCTAATTGCAAATGGGCCTGAAGAACTACAAGTAAAAATTAATGAACTAAATACAGCCAGCAATAAAGTGGGTCTCAAAATGAATTTAGGAAAAACTAAAGTAATGTACAGGGTGAGTCAACGATAGAGTAAAGTCCATTATCTCATTTGTTTCGAGGTTTAGAAAAAAATATTAAATATAAAAATTATAGGGACGGTTAAGATACACATTCTAAAATTATTATAGAGTATACAGGGTGCTTCAACAAAGTGTGGCGAATAAAACATATGTTTTTTTAAATGCAACACTATATTTTTTATTTCATTTTTAGATTCTGCGTAAAATTTTATAACTTTTTTATATATAATGTTATACATATACCTAAAATGAATAGTTTTTGTAATATTTAAATTTGTTTAAACAAATGTTAGATTGCAGTGTGATAAAAAATTGTCAGTGATGCCGTTGTTTCTGAAGTTGGACAACTAAAATTTGGTAGGAGAATTTTATAGAGATATAGAAAAAAATCTATGTAAAGGTATTTGAGTTAGATGCTACAGGGTGTTCAAAATATATTTATGAATTTCAACTACTTACAATTAAGAAATTTCAAATTTTTTAAATGGTACACCCTATATATTATCATTTTTTCTGATAGATTTTACAAAACTCTTCAACTTTTATTAAGTATGTCATATACCTATTTTTAATAGTTTGCGATTTATTCCAATTTTTTCTATTTTTACCCATATTTTTAATAAGTTACGCTATAACATTATAGATGCAATGACAAAAAATAATAATTATTAAAATTTCATGTCTGTTAAGAACAAAATTTGAATTTTGTCTTATGGTGGTAATGGTAGAGTTAATTGTTACAACATATTTTCCTGAAATTAATTAGTCGATGTGACTGATATACACGAACAAGCCAAGAAAACCATATTTTTTGGTTCAGTACTATATATTATATAGTGCTTTGCTAAGTACTATAAGAATAGATGTAGATTATCTAGAAAACATCTTCAGTGTGTAATGGGATAGTTTGGCGGCAGTAGTAATATGGGCTTTACGAAATGAATTATAATCAGTTAAACATTATAGTCAGTCACTATATCAATAGTCTTCAACAATTAAGTAATTTAGTATGACTCTAATCTGTCGCTATTCGCCCCGACGGAAACCCCCCTCCCCCCCCAAGTGTCATTTTTCATAATATAGAAATACACCAAGAAATTCACGACTGCGATTTTATTTTATTTCAGTAAAGTTAATTAATGTTAACTAATACTAACAATTGTAACTAATTATGAAGCTACTTGTTAAAGAAAAGTAATAAATAGTTTGTTTTGTCA